CGTGCGTCCCCGCCGCGCTCCGGCGTCTCCTCGGCGCGCCCGGCTCCCGGCTGTCCCCGCCCGGCGTGCGGGCCGGTGTATGGGCCCCTCACCATGTCGCTGAAGCCTCAGCAACAGCAGCAGCAGCAGCCGCCCGCGGCCGCCAATGCCCGTAAACCCGGCGGCAGCGGCGGCCTTCTCACGTCGCCTGCCGCCGCGCCGTCGCCGTCCTCAGTCTCATCGTCCTCGGCCGTGGCTTCCTCTTCCTCGGCGGCGGCGGCGGCGAGCGCAGGCGGCGGGCGGCCCGGCCTGGGCAGGTGGGTGTCTCGCCCCAGCCCCCTCCGCTCCAGGCCTGGACGAGCTCAGGCCTCGCGTCCCCTCCCCCGCGGCCCACACCGTCGTCCCCGCCCTGTGACCGGCCTGGCTTGGTGGGGTGGGCTAGGGGCCCGCAGTGGGGGTGGGGCTCCCGCTCTCCTCTAGAGCCCGGGGGTTTGGGTGGGGGGCCTTGCGGGATCCCTCCAGGAATGTCAGGTCGTGTCCAGCCTCCCGCAACATCGCCACCCCCTCCCCCAAACGGTCAAGATGGAAGGACTGGGCAGCCTCCCCCTCTCCATTTAAGTGTTCGGGAGGGATTCACAGGTTTCACCAATTGTCAGCCCCTGTTCCTCCTTTAACTCCAACATGGAGGGGATGCTTGGGCAGCGCCTCCCCCCCCCCCCCCAGTTTAAATATTAACGTGAAATGGTCTTTAGGTTTTGGTCAGTCTCCCGAAACTTGCCAACTCCCCCTTTGGGGAATAACGAGGGAGGGGGAAAGTTAGGGCAGCGTCCCCCTTGTCCGTTAAAGGGGCAGCCACGGGGCTCATCTGGAATCGTTAGGGTCTGTCTAATGTGCGTAACCACCCCATTCCCCTGCCCTGGGAAAGGTCGAAGAACCGGATTGAGGTGGGTGGGCAGTGGGCCCCCGCTCCCCTCCCCATTTAAATCTGAGGCGGCGTCGGGGGCTCCAGAACTCCTGGAATCGTCGGGCTCTGTGCAGAGTCTCCCGCAGCGTTCCGCCCTCCCCCACCTGAGGAAGGGCTGGGGAGTGCCCGGCCCCCTCCCGGCCTCCCTCCTTCCCCCGCAAGGCCTCTCCGCCGCGGGTGGTGGCCGATCCGCAATGCTGTTCCGAGGCCGCCGAGGAGAAGGCGCCTTTGAATAGTGGTGGGCGAGGGCCGGACCCAGGCGTGCGTCAGAAGTCCAGGCCAGATCGGGAACGTAGGGGGATGGTGGTGGCAGGGAGCGGGCACGCTGCGCATTTTTCCCAACCCCCGCCCCAATCTTTAAAATTTCGAGGGGAGAGGGATTGCAGCAGGAGACGTGGTGGGGTTCCTGAAGGCAGAAATGCGGGTGTTTACTTGCGTCGTCTCCTCCTCTTCCCCCATAAACCTAGGTTTGTGGTAGGGACTGGGGGCCCTGTGTTGTCCCTCTAACCGGGTCTGACTTTGGAGGGTGTGTTTGTGCGGGAAGGCCTGTTGGGGGTGTGTGTGTGGGGTGGTGGTTGTCAGTTCGTATTTCACGAACTAAGAAAATGCTTAGTGTTCAAACGGGGCAGCAAATGTCAATAGACTCCATTCCATTGTGGCCAGTGTCCTTAACTTGGGGAGTGCCGCCAGAGCTCACCAAGGGCACGCAAGTCCATTTCCCCTGTGCCCCGAGCCCATCCGTGTTCGGCACTGCCTTGCCTCCCTTAGGCCTAGGCGGGGTTGGCATAGTCGATGACGAGGGTCCTCCTGAAATAGACATCCTGGGCTTTAGAAAGTGGGATAAGGGGATTTTTTTTTTTTTCCGCGCACTGAGTTTTCTTTTTGAAAACAGGTTTTCAGCGATTCGTTTCCAAAGAATTTTCATTTATGGCAGGAGAAGTTACCCGTCGAGATGAATCAGAGCTGATTTTTAAGGAATTCTGTTTTCAAGGGGAGAAGGGCGAACATTTTTTTGTTTTTTACTTCTACCCTACCTCCCCTCTTGCCCCTTCTCTGAACCACCCACAAACGTTAACCTTACCCCAACTAGTTCAGATAAAGTGCTTATTTTCCCAGCTCTTTCCACTTAAGATTCTGTAACTTCAGTTTCCCTTTTTCAGTGGCATCCACAGTGAAAAATGGACAAATTTTGTACATACATAATGTTTTATAGAAAAGAATCCACGGTATTTTTCTTCTTAGGTATCATAGAAATTTGGCAGATATATTCAACTTGTTCAAATAATTAAAAATGAAAACTTAGGCTTTTAAGTTGCAGCGGCTCTCCTTTGGCTTAAAAATTATTTTGTTCCAGAGTGGCTTGAATGATCAAAAATATTTGGAATGTTTTAGTGCCAAAGGTCTTTTTCTGTTCTTTGAGGCTTTACATTTAAGGTTAATTTAAATTCTTCCTTGCTTTAAGTTCTTTCATTTGAGACATAAATTCTGGCCCTTGTTCTTTTTGATAGATGTGTGAAGTTCTGTTCACTGGATTCATATAATGTGTACTTTTATTCTTATAAAGATCTTTAATGTACTTGTAGAGTTCCTTTGGATTTTGAACCACTGCTACTGGGTTCTTTGTAAACTGGTTATAATTTCTAGAATCTCCTCACATATGTTTGTGTGTATCAGCAGTTAAAATAAGTCCCTGAGGCCAAGGGTAAAGAAAGAAAATGCATTGTTTAGAGGTAGTAAAATATTCTTGAAAGTCTAGAAATTCACATGTCTTATTTAAACAACATTTCATCATGTTTGACTTTTTTTTTAATAGTGGTTTTTCATGGCTTTCAAAAATTTATTCTGCCTTAAATTATCGTATATGTTTTAAAAGGTGACTTTTCTCTTAGAACAAGATACCCATAATATTAAAGTCTATTAATCAAAATCTTATTTTTGCCTTTTACTTTTTCATTTTTATGTAGCTTTAATTGTGTATTTTTGTGTTGTTTTTTGCTGTTTAGCATTGTATTATAAATATGTTTTAGGTTTTTGGTTAACCATTCAATTATTGTTGGGATTTGGGTTTCCACATCTTTACTGTTACAGATAGTGGTGCAGTAAACATCTTTATACTAATAGCTTTTGGCTTTAGTCTAATTATTGCCTTAGAGAAAGTTCTCAGGAGTGGTTTTACTGGGTCAAAGGGCTTCCAAGGTTTTTATGGCTCTTGCTAGCTGTGCCATATTACTCTTCAGAAGACTTGTATTAGTTTCCATTGCCAAGAAGGTGGCTCTTCTATAGAATGGTTTCTTTGTCAAACACTGGGGGGGATTTTCAAGGGAAAAGTTGCACTTACTGTCAAGTGAATACATTATTAAGTGCTTTTGTTAGCTACCTGATTATTTATACTTGAGTTTGAATTTGGTTTCTCTGAGGACTTAATGAAATAATATAAGGGAAGATGCTTTGAAAACAGTAACTGTTAACACTAATGAGGATACATGGTTTAACTATTGTGCTCATACTTCTGCTAAGTAGAGGAATGGAAGTCCTGAGAAACTTGTTCTGAAACTTTTGTTGTTGTTGTTAATCTCCCTCATTCATCTAAAGGTATTTTTTATTAGCTGTTAGCCTGTGACCAAGTCATTTTTTTAACTTTATGTAATTTCATGGCACTGTTAGGAATTATCACTGGTTAACCCATATCTCTTCCCTTTCCTGTTTAAAAAAAATAACGGGTTTACCCATTCTGTTACCCATTCCTAATCTGAAATAATACATTAGAATTTCTTTGGATACCGGATTAAATGTGAGCAAAAACTTCTTATTTTAGTCATTTTCAGCTTAGTACTTCTACTGCTTCTTTCTCTTAAGGCATTGCAACTTGGAAATTATGCTGCAATTTAGTGTAAGTTTTCATTTAAATATCTGTGAGACATGTCTTTAAATTAAATCTTTTAGAAGAGCTTAAAACATTGACACCATTGAGCATATAGATTTATTGAAAATCTATGTACAGGCAGTTACAAGTGCTTGGGATATACGAATGAATAAAACAAAGATAGCTGCTCTCCTGGTGTTTCCATTCTAACATGATGAACCAGACAGTAAATGAGACATTAAATTAGCAAACTGTAGGGGCTCCTGGGTGGCTCAGTCGTTAAGCGTCTGCCTTCGGCTCAGGTCATGATCCCAGGGTGCTGGGATCCCCTGGGATTGAGCCCTGCATCGGGCTCCCTGCTCGGCGGGAAGCTTCCTTCTCCCTCTCCCACTCCTGCTTGTGTTCCCTCTCTCGTTGTCTCTCTCTGTCAAATGAATAAAAATCTTTTGTAAAATTAGCAAACTGTATATAATATTAGGTAAGAGCTGTGGGATTAGAGGAAAGCAGATTAAGGGTATAATATGGGAATGTGGGGGAAGGGAATGGGTTACAATTTTAAATGGGTTGGGGAGGCTTCTTTGAGGAGGTAACATTTGAGCAAAGTTTTGATGGTGAGGTAGGTTGGCCATTTGCTTTTTTCTAGATTAATTAGTCATATGGTCCCATTAGTGATTTAGAAGGTTTAAACTGTATCATCCTTTGTTAATTTATTCTTTTATGTGGGTATTGATATATAACCACATTTGTAGTTGGACCAAAAAAGTTAATTGACATTGAGGTCATCAGAGGTAAGCTGTAGATGGCTATTAAAAGCTGTACATTTTTGTTTTTCTAATGGGCTTATATATTTTAACCTAATTGACTTAATTTTTATCCTAAATACCTAGAGAAGATAGGCTTTTTTGGATTGGGCAAAAACCTACATCAAATCTTTGTCAAAAAAGTAATCCTGTAGTTGCTTAAAGATTTTGCATTTTGAAAAGTCAAAACATTAATGGTGTCAGTCATGGTGTTCCTTTTTTGGTTAAATGTAAGTTTGTATTTTCCATATCTAATTAGACAGTTACAATTTTACAGATTTTACACAGGGGATGTTAACTCATAGCTATTTTATAGCCATATGTTTGGACTTAAAAGAGGATCTAATTTTTTGTTGTTGTTCTGTGTAGCTACAGCTGTGTTAGAATTTACTTTCACCCCTGCGTTTTTATACCTTGAAATGGATTTTAAGTTTTTAGTAGATTTTTTCCCTGGAGTTGTAATTTTCTATTTTGGATAGTTAGGGATAGTGTTTTGATATATAAAGAGTTGAGCCTGAACAAAACCCTGTTTTTTTGTAGCTATTTCAAATGATTATGATAACTTCAGCTGCAATATAAATAGTTTATTAACAGGCCTACCTGCTACTATGTCTTTTCAAGTGAAAGCACTTGTTTTTGTTTTGTTTTTGAAGCACATCTGGGTCATTTATGACTGTTACCATACTGCGA